GTAATAAATAATAAATATATAGTTAATAGCTGAAGCCCATATAGAAACCCAAATGAAATCGCAATCCACTGCCTCAAATGCTGCACTCGATGATATTTCAGGCTACAAGATTGCAGTTAAACAGAACCAGCTAGCTGTTAACCAAATGCATAGCCGTTAATGGAAAATATTTGTGTATGTAACTGTGTGGTTGTGTGTGTGTGCTGTCGAAATAAAGAAATGGCGTAAAGCAGCGTAAAAGCAGGCACAAAGCAAAAACAAAAACAACAAGCGATGCAAAAAGGCTTATTAAAAACGCATAAAAGAAAACGGACCGTTTACAAAACACACACACTCGCACACACACACTCGCACACGTGCTAGCCACACACGCTTATATGCACAAACAGCCCACACACACACACTTACATACACTCAATGGCATATATGCATGACCCTTAATAGCAGAGCCCGCCTCGCCCCTCTGCCTACCTCGTAGCCATCTTGTATGGGGCACTCGGGCGCATAAATCCGCGCTAAATGAGTTTAACACTTGGCTTAATAGTTTGGTTTTATGAAAAGCAAAAACAACGACGTGCAAAATAAAAGAAACCCAACAACAAAAATATGGAAAGCGCGCCAGCGGCAGAGGAAAAGAGTGAGAGAGAGAGAGAGGGGTAGAGGGAGGAAGAGCAAAAGAAAACGAGAATGTTGAGTAAAACGTCATGGGAAAAAATTTTCCACAGCATACTTTTATGCGCAATAGAAAACTTGCAAATCGCTTTTTGTTTTCATTGCAGGACGAATGGCTAGCATGAAGGAGCAGAAGAGACGAGAGTGAGAGAGAGAGAAAGAGAGAGGTGAGGTGGAGCTTGGGATTGTGCCACCCTGCTGAAGCCTTTGAGCATTTAGCTTGGCTTAGTTTGTGTGTAGTTCTTGTTTTTATTTCTATTAGCAAACCAGTTGGCCGACTCGCCAAATGAAAAGTGCAGCATGCGGCAAACGGCATGCGGCATGCGAGTGCGAGTGATGTGTAAAATATGCAAGCAAAAAAAAAGTGAAAAAAAATATAAAAAATGTGGGCAAAAACAATTTTCAATGAACGAACGTACAGAATGGGCGGCAGGCGAATTGGTTGCGGCCAAGGCAAATCGCTGTTAGTTAAATGTTGCAACAACAACCGCGCGCAAAACTCATTTTAAATATTAAATTTACACACACACAGAGAGACACCACTGTGTGTGTGTGTGTGGCATATGGCATGCAGCAGTTAATATTTTACATGCATTTTACTTTCAACATAATTACAGTCGGTGTCTGCGGCAAGTACAAACCCACCCAGCCAACCTTTAGCAGGCACTTTGAAAAACTATTTGCGCATAGATACACACACACACACACACACACACATATATATGTATAGAAAGCGAAAGAAACGTATACATACATAATTTAGTAAAGCACTTGGACAACATTAATGTGTGTGTGTTGCTCTGGCTGCCTCTGGCTGTTGCTGGCGCTGAGTGCTGCGGCTACTCGACCAAAAAGCGGATGCACCTTACGAGCATACACAGCTGTACACACACACACACACACACATACACATACACACTTAGCTTGCGGCACCTGCTGTGCATATTTTTCAGCTAATACATATATAATTTTTCACAGTTTTTTCTTTCACCATATTTTACTGCCTCGCTATCTATGAGTCGGGTTCTATATACATATATATGTATATATATGTATGTGAGTGTTTGTTTTTAATATTGTTTGCCTAAGCTACTTTATAGTTAAGTGCAGCTGGCATATGTATCCTTAAACAGCAAAACTTAAAAACGAAAAGTAGAAAAACCCGTTGACAGCGCAAAAAATTGTTCAATTGTTTTGCTTGAGGCTTAGAGCTGTTCGTCTTTTCTTTCCCTCTCTCACTCTCTCTCTCTCTCTCTCTATGTCCCACTCTATCTTTTTATAGTTCGCGCAAATATTATTCATACAAAGAGCTTAAAAGCGTGTGCAGAGCATTTCATTTTTTCATGTTTTCACATTTAACGAGCTATTAAATTCGGCAACCAAATATAATCCTCAGCTGAAAAACAATGGGAATATTTGCAGAACGGCTGAGTGTATAGATATAAAGCTTAAATATAAATGCAACGGCAGAAATATTTATTATTTAGATTTAAATAATATAATAACAATTTTT